TAAGAATTTTCTACTGGAGTTTTGAGTGCCTTTTAACTATAAAACCATGACATCTATAAATTGGGACATTTTGATTTCTTCCTTTGATATTTGTGTATGTTATTCTCTTCTTGCTATATTTCTCTAGCTAAGACTTCAAGTACCCTAGTGAACAAGAACAGGGAGAGTGAGCACTCTTTTCTCATATCAAATTTTGGAGGAAATACACTTTTTCCTCACTTAGCATCATAATGTTTGGCTAGCAGTTTGTTTTATAAAGCCTCTATTGTATTGAAAGATGTTCTACATCTGCTTTTTTGTTGGTTGGTTTTCATTACAACTTTTCATGCATATATGTTGTTCTAGTTCATATTTAGTTCTAAGCTATCCCCCTCGTCCACAGTCTTTGCCACCCCCTTCCTCATCATACACAGCCCTCCACCTGCCTCCATCCCTCTCTGCCTTGTTTCCTCCTTTCCTCCAGACAGCCCCCACTCCACTCTTTATATCACATGTTCTATTACCTTGTTTCCCCCTCTGGAAACTATTTGTCCTTTCCCATGATATCCTTTCTACTTTTGTGAACTATGCCCATGTGTTTGCAGATACACACATACACATTCACTTTAAACAAAATTTCTGAGTCTGAGAATGAAATACACATTGTATGGCCTATTTTTTTAACATGGTGATGTCCTGGTCTATCTCTTTTCATAAAAAGATAATAGTTTCATTTTTATTTATAACTAGATAAAGTTCTATTATATATATATATATATATATATATATATATATATATATATATATATTACCATATTTTCTTTATCCATCCACTGATGACAAATAGGCTTATTTCATTCCATGTCTATTGTGAATACTGCAGTAATAAACCTGAATGTGCAAGTACTTTTAGGCAAGTTGATTTATAAGCCTTTGAGCATATATCCAAGAGTAGTATATTTAGATAATATAATAGTTCTATTTTTAATCTTTTTGTGAAACCTCTTTGATGATTTCCATAATGGCTGGACTTATTTCCATTCCCTCTGGCAACAGATAAGTGTTCTCTTTTCTCTACATCCTCATCAGTATGGTTTTATGTTTGTTTTTGTTTTGATTGGTTGTTTAAATTGGTTTGGTTTGGGTTGGGTTGGGTTGGGTTGGGTTGGGTTGGGTTGGGTTGGGTTGGATTGGGTTGGTCGGGTTGGTCTGGTTGGTCTGGTTGGTCTGGTCTGGTCTGGTCTGGTCTGGTTTGGTTTGGTTTGGGTAACCATTTTGCATGGAGTATCTTTACCAGATTGCTGAAGATGTTGAGAAATTTTTCAAATTATTTATTAGCCACTTGTATTTCTCATTTTGAGGACTATTTAATTCATTAATCCATGTTAAGTAGACTGGTCAATTTGATGTTTAATTTGTCAGTTGTTTTTATATTCTATTTGTTGATTCCTTGTCCAACTTTTCCAGTACTATTTGTTAAAGAAGCTCTTTAAACCATGTTTCCATGCCTTTGTCAAAAATTATGTGGTCATACCTATGTTGGCTTATTTTCTGGGTACCAGACTCTATTCCATTAGTCTATCTGTTTTATGCCAATTAGTATATGCTCTCACTAATGCTTTGCAATACAACCTAACATCAGCATTGATCTTTCCAATAAAGATTGTCTTGGCTCCTTTTGAGTTTTTTTGTTCTTCTCTAAGAACTTAAAATTGCTTTTTTCTAGTTCTGTGGGGAGTGGCCTTTGAATTTTGATCGTGATTCTGATGAATCTATATATCTAAGGTGAGTAAAAAGAGTAAACAGATAAGAAGAAAAAAGGAAGAGTGAAGATAAATATTATAAAAGGGAAAATAAAGTTAGAAAAAGGAAAAAATATTTCCTTGAATAGGTTCAAGACAAAGTTAGATAAATTAAAGAGAAATAAAAAATATGAGTGTGTAAGAAAAGCAAAGTAAACACTAAAATACTACTAACAAGCAAGGAGGAAACATGAGGGGCAAATAAGAAAATAAATTAAGAAGAAGAAAATTATGCACTAATAAGGGGAAAATATATGAATAAAATTAGATGAACATATGAAAAAGAATAACAATAAAGGAAAAAATTTTTAACTATGACTAAAAGTGTAGTAAAGAGGACAAGAGAATCAGAAAACACAAAGCTCTAAGATGTATGAAAGGAAGAAGGCAGAAAGAGACAGATAGAGATGGGGAGAGAGATTGGGGCAGCTGTTTTCATAGTCCTGGAAAATCAGGGACTGTCAAGTATCTACATGGAGGGGAAGAATCAATTCAACTTGCTGTTCCATGGTTTATACTGTAGCTGACTGTACCAGGCAAATATCTGATGTCCAACATCCTCAGGAGCTATCTTAGCGGCCTTCCTTCTCTGCATACCAAGGATTTGTAGGGTCAGACTTGGCTTTGTAGTATATGCGTTGGTGATTGGATAGGTTCTCTGCTCCTCATGACACATCCAAATTGTATTACCAGGGGTGACTAATGTTGGAGTTGCACTGTGGGGAGAAAACATAGCTCGGAAATGGTACATACAGAGGGGCCTGTCTTTACACTCTTGAGATGTCTACAGTGTTGATTACTCTGCTGGAGGGATGCAGTTGTGGGTGTTATGTGCATCCCTGTAACCTTAGAGTTCTCAGGCTCTACAGCAGTGATCTGATAGATGTTTGACTCAGAAAGCTAATTAATAATCACCCACCAGCCACTGGCTCAGAGCACTGACATGCAGGTTTATTCTCATTTGCTGAGGTCTGCTCCTACCACTGTCTTTCCCTTTGTGCACTGGAAGTAAAACCACAGCCTCTTTTAGAAGGGTGGGTTTTTTTTTTAAGTCTCTAAAGAGACTTTCTCCCTTAATTTAGGTTTGCTCAGAAAAGCAGGATGACTGATTGACTCACAACTGTTGTGTAAACATGTCCTGATCAAGATTTGAACTTGTTGAACCAGTCCATCAGCAGGACTACTCACAGGAGAAAACACCCAGGGGCCTTTCTTTTAAGCCTCCAGGTTTTGTCTCATGTCAGGAGAGTGTGAAAGAAGCCAGCAGTCTTGGACATTCTCCATCTTTATTACCAAGTCATAGATGCCTCTCCCTATCTGCTCTTCAGGGATCCTGTCCAATCTCTAATCTTCAAGGCCATCCGCATAATATAACATACACTAAAACACTATACTTTAAACTATGTAAAATTATTTTCTGGTAGATGGCAGAGAGAGTAAAGGGGGAGAGGAATGGGGGATATTGACAAATGGCCTCTTTGTAAAGATATAGGAGCACCTTCAGTGTGCTGTTGCACTATCAGCTACCTATAAACATAATATACAGTGTATTTTCAGAACCAGATGGTTTAGAGTGTTTCACCACAAAGAAATGATTAATGTCGAACTGGAAGATGGCTCAGTGGGTAGGGGTGCATGGTGGGTGAGAATTAGGTCTTTAATTTAGATCTCCAGCACTCATATTAAAAAGGCATAGTCATGTACCTGTAACTCCAGCAACATGTAGAGTAGAAACAGGAGGATTACCAGAGCTTTCTGGATGCCAGCCTAGCTTCATGTTCAGTGAGAGACCTTGTCTCAAGGGGACAAGGTAGATAGTGATAGAACACGACACCTAATATCTGCTAATGGGTATGCACATACATATATACCTACACATGCACAAACACACACACAAACGCACATACACATACACCAAAATGATAAGTGTCTGTAAAGCCAGACAGTCTAACCTGATTTAAGCACTTCATGGGGTATACATACACAAACATCACATGATACCCAATAAATATGTATAATTTTGTTTCTATGTATCAGTTATAATTCAAGTTAAATACTTAAAGTTTCTATTTTATTTTCAAGAATCATACTGAGACTATAAAAAACAATAAATATGTCTCTTCATTTGTCATCAGTTATTTATAAATGCTTTATCTAACCAGCATGCAATTAGAGCCAAGTGGTTACCATCAACCATGCTGAGTGCTTCTGCTTGTGAGTCTACACATATGATAATATCATAAACCACACAAGGTAAAAATGAGTGTATATAAAAATTGGTGAAATATGAATTAAACTATACAACAAAAAAAACAGAAACCAAATTTGAAATGTAAATCAATGAAAAAACTTCAACAATACACACCTAAAACAAGGCATAATTTATACAGATTAAGAGAGGCAATAATGGGAGCATTTTCTTTGGAAGAGTACAGAATTTTTATTTATGAATGAAAGCTCCATTTTAGGCTAAGAAACAGGAAACATGCAATACTAAACTATCACTATGAAAGAATAGAGTGTGTTTTAAATCAGTTATAGTTTTTTTAATTACTGAACATTAACATTTTAACAGCCAGAAACAGTACTAGTCTTTATAGTTTCTCTATTTGTTGTTTCCCTGTGTATGTGCGTGCACCACAGCACATGTACGGATGTCAAAAAGCAACTAGTGGAAGTAGGTTCTCTCCCTCCACCATATAGGTTCTTGGGGTTAAACTAATGTAATCAGATTCAGCAGCAAACGTCCTCACCTGCTGAACCACTTCGATGGCCCACAGCATGTATTAAAAGATTTTATGTATGCCTTCTCAGGGCATATATAAAACAGGTGCTGGTGCTCTGGGGGAATGGGAAGGCTCAGGAGAAGGAACTGGGAGATATCAGTTTGGTGCCCTTCTGTCATGCTGTGTAACCAGAGTATTTAAAAGAAAAATTTTAAAGTCCCCTTAAGTACAAATAAAAATTGAACACATTTCTATAATATACAATCTGCCAAGTGCTCAGTTTACCTTGAATTAACGAATTGGAAAACTCTACAAGCAAATCATGAGAAATCCTTCTTAACCAACTAGACATTTCTACTTCTGCTATTTTAATTTTGGGGCAAGGATATAATACATCACTTTAACAAAAAATTCCCTAGTGAAAAAAGAAGTCATATTATAATAATATCCAGATATCAATTAACTATTAAATAAACAATTTCAATCATTACCATCATAGACAGAAGAAAACTTTTTTCTTACAAATAACTCTGCCCAGTGCTCCCTTCATGTCTCTGTTCCTCAGGCTGTAGATGAAGGGATTCAGCATGGGAGTCACCACTGTGTACATCATGGCCATGACAGTCTCCTTCACAGTAGAGTTATTAGCTGATGGACATAAGTACAGACCAATGACTGTCCCGTAGAACAGTGACACCACAGATAAGTGGGAGCCACAGGTGGAGAAGGCTTTACGGATGCCTCGAGCAAATGGGACCTTGAGAATGGAGGAGACAATTCGTGCATAGGACACAACAATGAGCACAAATGGAGTGACAAGGATGAGGCCTCCCATGACAAATATCACCAACTCATTAACATGTGTGTCAGAGCAGGCCAGCTTCAGCAGAGCAGACATGTCACAGAAAAAGTGGGGGATCACATTGTCCTCACAGAATGACAATCTGGCCATGAGCAGGGTGTGCAGCATGGCATGGAAGGTGGTCAGTACCCAGGACAGCAGCACCAGGCTCACACAGAGCTTGGTGCTCATGATGCTCATGTAATGAAGGGGGAAGCAGATGGCCACATAGCGGTCATAGGCCATGGCCACCAGGAGGAAGCTCTCAAGGTCTCCAAAAAACAGAAAGAAGTACATTTGTGTCAGACAACCTCTATAGGTGATGGATTGATCCTGACTCTGAATGTTCTGTAGCAACTTGGGCATTGTGACAGAGGAAAAGCAGAGGTCAGAGAAGGACAAGTTGCTGAGGAACAAGTACATGGGTGTGTGGAGATGAGAGTCCAGTACAATGAGGATGATGATGATGAGATTCCCCAGGACGGTGGTGAGGTACATGGCCAGGAACAGGGCGTAGAACAGGTGCTGGTGCTCTGGGGGTATGGGCAGGCCCAGGAGGAGGAACTGGGAGAAATCAGTTTGGTTGTCTTCTGTCATGCTGTCTAATCGGAATCTTTGAGAGAAAAAATTTAAAGTCTCCTTAAATACAAATAAAAATGAACACATTTCTATGATATATAATCTTGTAAGTGTTCAGTTATTGACTGCACCTCATCAACTGAAAGAAAGTAAGTTAAAATTTCTTTGTTTGTAAGTGGTTTTAACTCACAGCCCCTCTACTTAGCCTTGGCTGTCCTGGTGCTCCATGTATAGACCAAGTGTGCCTGGAACTCTGATTCCTGAGTGTTGAGATTTAAGGCATCCACTACCATTCCTGGTTTAAATTTCTTAAATTTATCGCTATGACTAAATCTAAGCCACTTCTCAGTCATTGTCACTGGTTATTAGATAGTACAATGGTATTGGCTCTTATTTCCTTCCTAAAACAGTCACGGGTTAGCTGCTCACCTGGCAGTGCAATGTCTATTTATTCTCAATAATTGGAACTGAGGTGTTTTTTTTCTTACAGTAGCTACTGTTTCCTGGGACTTCCTACTAAACATTCCTCTTATAATTCTAAGGCTATGTCCCTACAAATGCTTGCCTATTTCCATGATGTCCATTATCACCTAAAATGATTAGCTAAACCACTATTACCTGTAGTACTCTGCCACCAACTGCTTATTGCTTATTTCTCCATAGGTGTAACAAGGCCATCTTCAGCTCAGTAGATCCCAAATACCTGTACAATTCACCCTGCCCTTTTCCCAGTTTCTCATATCTCAGGAGAAGAAATCCAGGCTCACATAAGAGGTGTTGGAATTTTTAATTCGTCCATCCATTCCCATGACCATCAGCATTCAATCTAGCAAGTCCCATAGCATCTGTCACTTCATTTCTCTCTAAGTCATCCATGCTAATTCCAACTGCCATTGTAGCTGCTAAGTGTATACCTTCTGGATGTCTCAGTGCCCTGTTAGAATATTTCATCTCTTTTTTTTTCTGCCTGTAGGTCTTCTCAGACTCGCTATCCTGGAATCGTGTAGCTTTTGACAATGTTTCAGAATTCCCAGTGTAACTTCAGACCCTTAGGCTCCCCAACACACTATAATTTATCCTAAATAGACAACCAGACAACCTGGTATGTGTAGCTATGAACATTTTGTTTCTTGAGTAACAATGTCCATATTATTCATTGATATTGAGATGAAAACACTAAGTTAATAATTGATGTGGGAGAGTCCTGGTGGCTGGCTCTCTGGCACTCCCCTCCCCTCCTCCCTTCCTTCTCCCCTCCTTTGGTGGCCTTATGTCATGGCCTGGGCTTCCTGAGGAAGACAGTGGGGAACTGGCAAAGCCAAAGATCAGATTTCCAGAAACAGCAGAAAAAGAGCTGGAAGAAATTGCTTCAGAGAATTCAGATTCCATATATTCGTCAACTCATGAAGTTAAGGCCTGAGCATCAATCGCAGATACCATATAGTTCATGGACTAAACAAGCAGAGACAAGAATCAGCCTTCAGAGTTACTCTCTGCCTGTGGCAAAGACGGAAGAAAACATCGGGGCATGTGAATTCGCTCCAGTGTACAAACAACTACTCAGTGTTGCCTGTGAGTGAAAATAGCTGAGTGTGTGAGGGACAGGCGGGAGGATTATGTTCACATAGTGCACAGCCTCCTGTCTGGAGTGAAAAACCAACTTACAATTTCCATTTTACACCTAAATTTCTTGTTATGGAGAAGAAAAATATATTGGCCTATTTTTCTGACTTTTCCCTTAAAGAAGAATGCCTTTTTCTCTCTCCACTTACTTCTCAAGAAGAGGAAGTACGAGATAAAGTAGCTGGTTTGGCCTCTTTCATTGTACACTGATTGCTTCTGAACATCTAATATTTTTTAGTTATCTAAATAAAGTGCCTCTAAAACAAGACAAAAATAATTGATTTATGGAGAAAGAAATGAATAAAGGTGATTTGAGGACTTCATTTCAGTTTGTTTCCATGTATCCATATGTCAGTTTCCTCAAAGCTAAAACAGAAAAGAAGGCTGTTAAGATAGATAAATTTCTCCCTTGAAAAAGCACAGCTAAGCCCAGTTGCTGGAATTTTCACCTTACCGATACTATTTAATCTTGCCATACTAATAGCTTTTACATTTAGACATGATCTTCCAGTGTTGCAGTTGAAAAAGCACCAATAAAATTTTATACACCTATCTTAGACTGGAGCTTCCCTGAGAAATGTGCAGGATACACCTCTGATATCAAGGCTGTTATGAAGAATAACAAAGAACAAGGACAATACTTGCAAATGGTGCCCCTGACCAACACCTGAGGCCCAAAGGCTCCATTTTCCTCATTTTTCTCATATTGCACCTGTTCAGTTCTCAGTCTGAACTGCACATAAAAATAATGAAAGGCTTAGATTTAGTCAAAGGAACACCTGGTTATCCTAATAAATTCTGATTCTGATCAGTAAGTCTTGTGTGGGCTCCAAATTAAACATTCAAACTCTTCATTTGGTGATGCTAATTCTTCCAGTCTGTGGATCACACTTTGATAACCATACACTTTTTAAAATAAAATATTTTTTCACTGCTCCCCAATAATTGAGATTATAAACTCTTCAAGAGGATTATCTATGGTTTTTAAGTTCCTTGAATAATCTAATATATAACAAGAACATCTGTATAAAATGCTTTCCTCAGAGGGATGCCCTTTTGTTGGCATGATACAATCTTGTGAGAACACATTGCCTAGTAATAGTAATGAATGCTATACTAAAAATGTAACAGGTGACAACGTTTAACCAGAATATTTCTATAATGTGGGAAAAACCTTGGGAGTGAGCACAGAGAGGGAAAGTACATCTGGAAAAAAAAAGTCTTGCAGAGTATCCTAAGACTTGGAAATTAAAGTCTTCAATTAAAGTTAGGGAAACAAAGGCCCTAGCTTATTCACTTTCTTGCCAACTTACCCAGAATGTCTGTGAAACTCTAGGAACATGGTGCAAGACCCTGTTCCCATCTATTCAGTGTAGGTATAGGAAAAACAGCCTTTGTAGTCATCACCTGAGTCTCTTCCATCCCTGCTCACACTTATTCTGCTCATCCCTGGGCCTAAGGGACTCTGCATCCCAGAGGAATCTAGATCCAGGAGGAAATCATTAAATAAGACAAACTAATTATTCAAGATCTCTCTAGGACAAATTCTCCTAGAGTCCTGTAGCAGTGACTAACTACTCACTGATCATGTGGTGTTGTACTTTGGGGGCCATGTCCGGGATAGAGAGCAACTCACTGAGAGATGCTTACTCATTTTCTAAGGAATCAACAACAGCAGTCCCATATGCTGGATCCTGTATTTGGGGAGAAGGTTTGAGAGGCCTAAAAATAGAGACCTTATTGTGAAGGCTCTAAAATATCTTAAGAGTATTAAAGCATAGGCTTTATCCTGTGAACAAAAAGCTACCAGTGGTCTTTGAATACTACTTAAAAAGACATATATTTCAAAAAACATTTCAAGGGAAGCAGAACCTTTCACTAAAACTAAGCTACCCATGAACATATTTCAGGTAAGAGAAACCCTCAGCTATAAGGACCCAAGCATATGAAGACACACAAGAAGGATGAGAATAAGAAAAAAAAAAAACCCTGCCACATCATGCTTAATTCTTCCTCCAGCCAAATTTGAAAATGAAATTGGTTTTGTACCTTATTCAGTTGTTTCTAGCTTCTATCTTTTCTAAGAAAATCTTTTTTTTTAATTTTTATTGGATGTTTTATTTACATTTCCTATGTTGTCCCCTTACCCCACCCCCCACCCACCCAGGAACCCCCAATCCCCTCGCCCCTCCTCCTTCTTCTCTGTGGATGTAACCTCTATCAACCCCCCTCCCACCTCCCCACCCTCAAAATTTCCACCCCCTGGGGCATCCAGCCTTCATGAGGTCAAGGTTCTCTTCTTCCACCTATGCCCAGCAGGGCCCTCCACTCTTACATATTCAACTGAAGCACTGGATCCCTCCCTAAGTGCTCCCAGGCTGGTGGTTTAGACCCTGGGAACTGTGGTTGGTTGGTATTGTTGCTCTCCTCATGGTGCTGCAAATCCTTTCAGCTCTCCTTCAGTCTTCACTCTAACTCCTCTATTGAGAACCCCATGATCAGTTCAATGGCTAGTTGTGAGCATCTGCCTCTGAGTATGTCAGACTCTTGAAGACCTCTGAGGAGATATCCATGTCAGGCTCTTATCAGCATGCACTTCCTGACTTCCACATCAGCATCTACCTTTGGTGATTGCACATGGGATAGATACTCAGGTGGAATGGTCTTGAGACGGCTCCTCCTTCAGTTTCTGTCCCTCACTTTGTCTCCATATTTTCTCCCTTGAGTAGTTTGTTGCTCCTTCTAAGAAGGACCGAATCACCCCCACTTGGTCTTCCTTCTTTATGGGCTTCATGTGGCCTGTGAGTTGCATCTTGGGCATTTCAAGGTTCTGGGCTAATATCCAATAATCAGTGAGTGAATACCATGTATGTTCTTTTATGATTGGCTTACCTCACTCAGGATGATAATTTCTAGTTCCATCCATTTACCTAGGAACCTCTCGAATTCATTGTTTTTAATAGCTGAGTAATACTCCATTGTGTAAATATACCACATTTTTTGAATCCATTCCTCAGTTGAAGGACATCTGGGTTCTTTCCAGCTCCTGGCTATTATAAACAAGGCTGCTATGAACATAGTTGAGCATATGTCCTTGTTATATGTTCGAGCATCTTCTGGGTATATGCCTAGGAGTGGTATAGCTGGATCATCAGGTAATGCTATGTCCAATTTTCTGAGGAACCGCCAGACTGATTTCCAAAGTGGTTTCACCATCTTGCAGTCCCACCAACAATGGAGGAGTGTTCCTCTTTCTCCACACCCTCACCAGCATCTACTATCACCTGAGTTTTTAATCTTAGCCATTCTGACTGGTGTGAGATGGAATCTCAGGGTTGTTTTGATTTGCATTTCCCTGACGACTAAGGATGCTGAACATTTCTTTAGGTGCTTCTCGGCCATTCGAGTTTCTTCCGTTGAAAATTCTTTGTTAAGCTCTATACCCCATTTTTTAATAGGGTAATTTGGTTGCCTGGAGTCTAATTTCTTGAGTTCTTTGTATATATTGGATATTAGCCCTCTATCAGATGAAGGATTGGTAAAGATCTTTTCCCAATTTGTTGGTTGTCGTTTTGTCCTATTGACAGTGTCCTTTGCCTTACAGAAACTTTGCAATTTTATGAAGTCCCATTTGTCAATTCTTGATCTTAGAGCATATGCCATTGGAGTTCTAGTGCTGCCCACCATAATCCTAAACAGTCTCCTTAGATGTTAGAATACTTCCCAGCTCTGGCTTTTCCATTTGATCATAAGATTATAGTTGATATTTTTAAGTCCTCTTCAACAGTTATTCTGTGTTCCTTTTCATCATTTCAACTACATTCGACCTTCATCCCTCAGGAATATGAATCTTCAATGGTATTACCTTCACTGGATTACAAGAATAGTTGCCTTTGATTTATTGACACAAAAAGATTCTGGGGTTGGCCTCATTCTTTTTTTTTTAAATAATTTTTTTTAATTTCTTTTTTTTTGAACATGAAATGCTTTTTTATAGCATGTTTTACAAGGGGAGGGAGTAAGAGGGGCCAGGTGGTGGAAAAGTACAAAATCTTCTTGGCCTGTGCCTTGAAACATGTCATGGTCTATACAGTACACTGCCTTGAATTATGATCTACCTGCTGTTCTTCAGAAGATATGGTACACTGCTTGAGTTATGGTCTCCCTGCTATTCTTAAGATGATATGGTACACTGCTTTGAGTCTATCTGCAGTTGCTAAGCAGGATCTTGCAGTTGCCAAGCTTCAGAGGACATTGTGCAGGTGGGGAAAGGTAGGGGGTGAGGGTAAGGGCGAGGGTCCTGGCTTCTGGCATCTCCCCCTTCTCTGTTTAGTTAGAGAAGGCATCTTATGATCAATCCCAACTATGTGAATTTTGAATTTGGATGTCTAATTATGGGGGGTCTTAGACAAGTTCACAACCCCAAAACACTGATGTGAGACGAGTCATATCGATGGTCGAAGGTTTTAGGCTGTCGACGATGGACAACGTCAAGGGACTCCGATGTGGGTGAAAGGAGGGTGAGAGCCCTGTCTTAGGCCATGTAGGCTGCACCCACTCCCAGCACCACGCACTTCTTTTCAGCTGCATTGGGTGGGCCCCTGGGAAGTGGACCTACAATAATCCCGTCATTAGGCTAACTCACAGCCATCCTAGTCCCTTGTAAATGTTCAAGTTACCAACCATTTGTCAGTTTGGGGTGTAATATTGTCATAAAGGAAGGCTCCCCAATGTTAGCGGCCATATCAGTTCCATGAGTTGACAGTAAATACGCTACCTTATGATTTGGTCTCCCTGTTCCCTATTTAATGCAACCTATCTCTCACTCTTCCAATTAGATAAAGCTCTCAGCTAATGAGACAGGAAATAAGACTTTGCTTTTTTCTGCTTTTAAGCTTCACAAACAAGAAATAATGAAGCATTTCAGACTGAGAAATGCCTCACAAGTTGTTATGGCATTAGTGGAAAAATAAAAATGCTTAGTCTGGACATTTTTCCTGTTGTTAAAACATTTTAGAAGACATTGGACCACATCAATTTCTCTAGCTTTCATCTTGTAAACCAAGGAAAAAGATCAGCTGAAATAAGACTGTAAGAGTTTGTCCAAAAAGCAAGGACAAAAGAAGGAAAAAAAGAGTGGCATCAGATAGGTGAGAAGGGAATACAATGAGCGAGCGAGAAGACAGCAGTCTGATATGGTTTGAGGCATCACTGCTAAGTGGGAATTATAACTTAAAAGTATATTAGGCAGACATTTTTACACCCTAAATAGTTAACATTTTCCTGAATTTTAACAGAAAAAAATAAAATGGAATGGAATATAATAGGCTTATTTCTTTAAATTGACCCAGGAGTACATGAGCAGCACTAATTGGAGTCTACCAGTTTTTAAAACGTAAGTATACCAAGTTGGGTGGATATGAAAGTGGGGATCTCAGAGGAATTGGGGAAATAAAGGAATATGGTCAAAATACAATGTATGAATTCTCAACAAACTAAAATGTTTTCTAAATAAAGTGAAGTAATTAAATGGCCGGCATAAGCTAACAATTGCAGAACAACACCTGAAACACTACTCATAGTCATCTTGCTCCTGATAATGGAAGCGCCTCCAGTACTGTCCCTTAAAGTCTGATGGTTTGGGGGCTGCCTCAAATGTATTATCCATGTTAAAGAAGCACCTATACCTACAAGAAGTGTTTCCAGCCCTTCAGCTGAAATCAAGTAGACTAAGTATCTATTTCTGGCTGTTACAGTGAGCATTTTTACCCAGTGATTGAATTTTAACAGGTGCAGCATTTTAGCAAAAACAGTAAAATTACTTACAACACAACCCTACACATACAATTCAGGGAACATCATAGGGGAAAAGAAGAGGACTGTAAGAGCCAGAGAACCTGGATGTTTAGGAGATGGTGTCATGACGGGGTGCTGCATGCACAAAAGCTCAACAGTATGGTTACCTAAACCAAACCTGAGTCATGACCACTGCAGATGACATGCCAGCAGGGATGCAGGAGAGGCCACAAGGCCTCACCCCTAAGATGAACCTTTGCTAGGCTGTCAGATTCCAAGTGGTCAGGCCTACGTACATGTACATGTAACATTAAATGGATTCAGTAGGTTTATATAGGAATAATTAATGTAGAAGTCAGAAATCCAAAAGGGAGTGGGGGGGAGAGAGGATCTGAGGAGAGAGAAGGGTAGAAATGACATAAATATAGTGTATTTGTATATGAAGTTCTCAAATTGTAAAAATATTAATTTAAAAAAGCTCAGTGTTTAATAGGAATTTCATTTCGATTTAAAACTTTGATTCGCGAGGTGGTGTGTATTACACATGGCAATGAGGAGGTCACCGGAGCCTTTCTGAAGGCGGGAGAAGTAAGAAAACTTAAAGCTTACATTTAAGTAGGCTACCAAAAATAATCCTCCTGCTCTCCTTACTTTTGAACATCTCAGCTCCAACTCAGTATGTACTCCCTGTAAAAGTGTTGGGGTAGATCCCAGCATGTCTCAATGGCAGGCTCTCACAAGTAGGAGAATAGCACACATTCTGCTTACCTCGCATGGTCCTTTGAGGTCATGTCCTGTTTAGGGTATATGAATGCTTCTAACACCTGTCTTATTCAGCCCACCATGGTAGTTCTAAAGACTGATGAACAGCAAATGAAGTGTGGAGTGTGATTTTGGTTTAGAGTTCCTTTTGAATGCTGGGCTACTGAAGCATGGAAAGATTCTGATGTGGATTTACAGACATGGCCTCAAAGATGGAACATTAAGAGAGGAATTCAAGTAAGATATGGTACTTATACAGTAAATCCTCCTAACAGCACAAAAGCTTGTTTCAAAGACTTCCCCTACATACTGTTATATGAGAAAACTTTATGGTCCATCAATTAACCTCTACTGGCAAATTTCACCACTAACCCTACTCAATTTTGACTCTCTTGCAAGCCTCATTCACTATAATAATAAACTTGTTTGTAGGAAAATGAAAAATTAATTTTGTAAAACATATCAGCTATCTAAAAAAAGTGGATAGAAAGAAAAATACAGCATCGATACAAATTTCTCTGAACACCTTTTAGTGTAAACTCAAAATTTTTTTCAAGACATTTTTCTTCTTAGAAAATAAAAAAAAAATCATTTTGCATTTATCAAGATTAGGTATACTCTGATATGCACAGAACAACAAAATAATCCATAGCTATACAAAGGAAAATTGTGGTTCTGAAAGGCAAAAGAGAATGGAAACTAACTGTTGGTGGATGTGCATTCTTCTGGCAGTGATGAAATTCTTTGGATCTGGATAATGGTAATGGTTACGTAACTTGGTGAACACACTAAAAACTTAAATCACACAATTTAAATGAGTGCTTTATCCAGTCTATAACGCATAGCTCAATGAAATTTCAAAATTAAAAAAATCTAGCTCTGCTGTTTTGGTCAAATCTATAAGAAAAGTTTTATTTTTATAAAAAGAAGTGAAATATAAAAACAAGAGTGATAAAACTATGAAGGTAGTAGTAATAACAGCAAACGCCTCTGCTCACACAGTGTAATTCCCTTTGACTCCATTTACATTTCATTCATTACTTTAGTATGATATTTCATCTCGGCATCTACAATTTTAACAAATGCTTGGAAAGTCTTTTGTTCAGAAGCAGATGCTGGTCTGACAGAAACACACTTGAAAATGTTCTTGTCTGGGTCGTAGTGTCCAACACACCTGTGAACTCGGCCTCTAATCAGTCTTGGAAGCTCACGATCCTGTTTTTCAAAATAAAAGTCAAAAATTAGTTATTGCCTCACCTAAAGTTTGATGCTTAACTTATAATATGATCAATTAAGTTGATGATCATATTTATCAAATATGAACAATGAATCACCCCAAATGATACAATTCTCTGTTGCTTGCAGTATCATCAGGCATGCACAGGTAACCTGTCACAGAGGGATGGCCCTAACCTGGACAGAGCTTCTAATGAACTAGCAAGAAGTTGCTTCCTGAAATATGTAATAATCCCTCCAACAATGACTCATGAATTATGCACTTCTTTTTGCTAACAGAATTTCTACTGCAATGGGACTATGGCCTGTAGCTTCATCTTTTGTTAGCATAGGCACTGAAAATGGACACTTTAAAATACTCACAATTTCATAAAAAACACATGGAAGAATATTTTTCCCGTCTCTCATAAGAAAAGTCTTTGAATAATGTGGGCCAGGTGTGACAGCTGAATCCAGGACAGCTAATCAGCATTAAAGTGGGAAAATAAAATATTGACAAACATAAATAAAATTTAACAAAGGAATTTGATATTTAAACATCATCCTATAGCATCTCTCCCAGTTTTACTTATACAGTGGGTTTTACAGAGGAATTATATCCTTTTGGTGTGTTCTGTAGGCTGGATAAACTTCAGAGCCATAATAACAATACAATGCACTATAACAACAAATAAGTATCATAGTTTAATGAAAACAACATTGAATTAGAATTCTGGTGTCAGGTCTTCAGCTTAATACTATTGTATGACACTGTTTAAACTTGATTTATTTTATTCTCTAAAATAAAATATATTCATGTACATGTACAAAAATAGAGAAAAAGAGAGCAAATAGAAAACAAAGGTTTTCAGTACTTCAGGTAATCAAACTGATGTCTATCCATTTCCATAGTTACATTTAGAAGTACAGTAACAGCACCTAAGATCTACCTTTTGAGCTAATCTTCAATACGTATCTGAAACACATTAGATCTCTAGGCGGACTCACCCCACATAACTGCAGGTTTGTACTTTTTTTTATCTACATCTCCCCATCTCCTTTCCCTTGAACAAACTGTTCAACATCTCTCAAAACTGTTTCTTCATTTATAAAATTTAAGTCCTAATTCATGTTTGATTCCATAAATTTTTATCAAACAGTGTTATGCATCATTTGATAACTATCTCCTGAGTACTGATAGTAGACATCTGTTATTTTGAAGGCAACCAGCATTGCTTTGATATACATAATCTTCTTTTACCAGTTTGTGTTTTCTTCATGATATCCTAGGTATTCCAAATGGCACTAAAAATATCCAAAACAGTATTACTGAAGTATTCTTAAAATATTATACCTACCCAATACTTCAAAAAGAAGTACAGTTCTCTGCACTTGTGCTCGCCAATACTTCATGCTTTCAATGACTGCAGAAATAATTCTTAAAGAATTATCTTTTTCCTTTAACTGATGCAAGGTAGCTTCCTTTCAGGAAAAAAAAAAGCATAGCATTTGAAAAGTGTTTCACTTTTCATTAAACTTGTTGATCTATGTAAAGTCTAGCTTCTTATAAGTAAGTGTGTAGAGTGTGTAAAAAGAGCCACTCAAAGTTTTGATGCAATTAAATCCCCAAATTAAACCCATCACTACATTTCACTGCACTATAGAGTGAAAGCAAGAGTATACTTCAAATAAGAAGAGAATCATGGAGTTGGAGACATGGCACAGTGGCTAAGGCACTTGCCATATAAGCCTAATGACCAGAATTTGATCCCCACAATCGAGGAAAAGGTGGAAAGAGAAAACCAACTCCACGAAAATGTCCTCTGACCTACACACATACTCTCCCTACATGCATCATACACTCAATAATAAATAAAGTTTTACTTATACTGTTATTCATTTACTCCATTAACTTTTTCCTCCACTGAATAAGCACTACGCACCAGCTTCTTTACAAACAGTTAAGTAAAAGAATTCCTACCCTAATGAGCTCACATTGTAGACACATTGACTCATTCATTCACTTAACAAGTACTTTTTTAAAACTGAAGAAAAATAAGCATAATAGTAGAAAGGAAACAAAAGGAGGTGAGGGAAAATAAGTGTGGAAAATGGGGTGATGCAAATATAAGCTATGAGAATGTCATAATGAAAACCACTACTTTGTAGTATTAACATACACTAATAAAAACTTTTGTTTTGGTGGTATCCACTCTGTGCCAAATCTACTCAAGAAACAGTAGTAAGCAAACAAGCAGATATGGTGGCACATACAGGAGGTAAAAGTAGGTGGATCTCTGTGAGTTCAAAGACAACCTGGTCTATGTAGCAGGGTCCAGACCACCCCAGTGAGTGCTGCATGATGAGACCCTGTCTCAAAACAATGATGATGATGATGATATACCTTTACATAATTTCAAATCTAAAATAGGATTCATCAAATAAATTGCTAATAAGTATAATAAAACATTAGAAATTGTTTTCATTTGTACATGAAAAAATAAAATGAAAAGATAAAGCGAGACGGGGTTTATCATTTTAAGTGGGTACTTAAGTGGGAGCAGAGACCCGCACATGTAAAAGTCCTGAAATAGAAACATTTTGAAAAAAAAAAAGAAATGTATTTTGCATTTTTTGTACTTTGTATTTTTTTAAGATTTATTTTCTTTTATGTGTATAAGTGTTTTGTATGTATGTTTATATATGTATGTACGTTGTGCCCACAGAACCAGACTTTCAGAATGTTGTGAGCCATTGTATGGGTGCTGGGAAGAGAGCCCAAGTCTTTCAGAAGTGTGGCCAGTGCTCTTAACTAACAAGCTGCCTGACCCATACTTTATGGATTTTTGGAGATCTGAAAACACAGCAATTGAAATCCAGAGACAAGTGGATCTCTATGAGTTTGAAGCCATCCTTGTCTATATAGTGAGTTCAAGGCAACACAGTGAAATCCTGTCTCTAAACAAACAAACAAAAATACTAACTTTAATACTAACTTTCAAGGGTTGGGGCACAATTTCCTTTTGGAGAGTGAGGATTGTGAAGAGTACCTAATGAAACTATATTTTTTCAAAATTTCTCCATCTTCTCCCTCCTAAGCAAGGTTTAAATATGCCTCCTTGAAGATGACTGCCACAGTGAGTCACTGTTACTAAGGTAACAGTGTCATATCATTCTGTGTGCAAGGTAACACGGTATTTAGAATCTCTATAAAACATGCTACATTTCCAGAAAAACAGAATTTACCCTAATTTCTTGCTAAAATCAATGATGTCCATTATGAGCAAAACAAATGCCAGAGTACTTAAGCACCCAAATACTAACAGCAGTAAGAAGCTGAAAGAGCTGTGAGAGAAAAATAAAATTACCAAGACCATGGAAACTAGGCCCATAGAGGGACACAGACATTGAAAAGAGGAAATCTCTACCTCTTCTCACATTGATATCCTCCCAATGACTCCTATTGGCTGGCCTCTAGTAAGAAGACAGAAAACAAGGGATCTCAAGGTGAGGCACCAGGCAGGACAACGCAGCCTGACAGAATACAAAGATTCACAGAACAACAATCCATTGGGCCTTGGTGTGAGGCATGAGAGAGAAGATAATCTGCACATGTGTAGAAACCATTCAAAGAACAATCAGAGGTGCAGCTTAGGAAAAGGTACATGCTCTCTACACTATAAATCAAAGCACAGAGATATTGTAGTATAGACCATATTAATCCCAGTGTGAAGAGTCTTAGATGAACAGCACTTTGCAATATGATGTAGAAGGCAAGAAAGGCAGAACAGGACCAGATTATAAAGCAGAAGTCAGCAAACTATGGCCTACACTCCACACTAACTTAACCCACTATTTCTGTCAACTTCTACTGGCCCACAACCATGCTCATTCATTAATGTGCTATCTCTGGCTGCTTCCAAGTTACAATGGCAGAGTCTTGTAGTAAAATAACTGGACCGAAGACAGTATGGTCTATAAAACCAAAAATGTTGTTATGTGGAACTTTGCAGGAAAAGATTTCTGATATCTTTGGTGAGGGGGGAGGAATGACATAATAAAAAGCATGGATTGTTTCTACAAACAATGGATAAACTATTGTTACCTTAGTGATTAAAAGAGTTAAAACCAGAATTCAGTAAGAAACTCTAGAGCCACTATTTGAAAAAAAAAAAATTCTAAGCTATTTCAGAAACCAACACTCCTCTTCTCCAACGGGAAGCTGGATATTTATGCTAATCTACATATGCCATGTATGTATCTTTCTAAATATTTACTACTTAAATGTGTAAATAAGCTATTCATTAATATTTAAATGTTTACCTTCAGAGCATTTTCTCTTGGAACATCTCCCAACACTGTTTTCTTAAGTGAATTTTGCTGAAAACTTGGTTTAAATGCCTGCAGTGCACTGGCTCTGTCTGGGCCTTTCATTGTAGAGCCAGGCAGTTTTGGTAAACATGTTTGTCGGGTCTCTTCAGCTTCCTTGTGTCCAGGTAAGTTAGGAAATTCGGGTGTTTGGAACTGTTTTTGTCGTCGTTGAGCTCCCAAGTCCACTGGACAAGAACTGAATTTACTGCTTGCCACAGGGCTTACAGTTTTATGCTGAGGTCGGAAATCATTTCTATCCCAAGTTCTCAAGCTAGTGTTTCTGTTGTTGTCTCTGTAGCTGTAAAAGGAAAACATATTTCACTATGTCTTCATATTTAGGAACAACCAATGAAATTTTTCATTATTCTGACAATCTGTGGTTTATAGCTACTAAGTAGTAAGACATTTGAAACACATCATTCATCATATCACAGTGATATAATATATTATTACTTCTCTTTCAAGATGAAGAGACAGAGTTTGGAGGAAGTAGTAACACACACAAAGTTAAACAGCAAGTCACTGGCAAGTTCAGAAATGGAAGAGGACCAATCTCCCAGCTCAGAATACATTGCTACAAATATGTGTCTATGATACTTGAGCCTCCACATAACAGTAGTTTCCAAGTAGAAAAATTGTGAGGACTTTCACTTAATTCTTTGTACATTTATCTTGAAATTTTCTACAAAGTAAAAAAAAAAAAAAAGCTACAGCTTGCCTGTAAGGTTATTTAATGTTTTATGCTTTGAAAAGCTCTACTATACAACTCAGTATAGCATTTCTTTACCACCCTAATCTACATTGCTCATAAAGCTTGTCAATACAAGATGTCAATAAAACCCATAATAAAGTATATTTTCGGGCTGGAGAGATGGCTCAGCGGTTAAGAGCACTGACTGCTCTTCCAGAGGTCCCGAGTTCAAATCCCAGCAACCACATGGTGGCTCACAACCATCCGTAATGAGATTGGATGCCCTCTTCTGGTGTGTCTGAAGACAGCTACAGTGTACTCATCAATAAAATAAATAAATAAATATTTTTTAAAAAAGTATATTTTCTAAGCAGATCAGTTTAAAACTTACATGGGAAAGAAAAATGAGTCCAACTCACAAACTCTTAATCATGAATAATTTTCCCAGAAATACCTGCATTACAAGGCAGTCAATTCAACCCACCCATTGTTTCAGGGGGAAAAAAAAGACAGGGATAACCTAGTGATCAGCAAAAGACTAGGTTTTATGAGGCCTAAGGCTTGTACAATTTGAGAAATACTGTTAACAAATTAACTATAAATTTAAGAATAAAAGGATAAAAAATCATAATTATGAATCTAGGTTATAAATACCACAAACATCATTAATATGCAGGAAAAAATATTACAATTATTGCTATTCATTAAATGTTTGATACGCCCTGCTGTGGGGCTATTTCCTCTGAATTGAAACATTCCTTCCTTAATGGAAGGAGGCTCAAAAGATTGAGGCAGATAATGAAATTCAGAAGACTCAGAAAACCACTAGGTCCTTCCCACAAGTATAAAAGACAAAAAAAGTTGCAGAGAGGAAACTCTTTGACAGAGAACTCCAGAGATGGGCTTTTGTGGAGTCATCAGCCATACTGGGGTAAGCTTTTCTATGAGAGAGCTACCTTTGAGTCCTCCATGCTCTTATGGGTAACATCTCACACATGCTTTTTATTACAAAGAAATCATTGAGAATCACTACAAAGCATGCCATGTTAGTCATACTTCCAGAAAATAAAGAAAAACAGAATTCACTCTGATGTTTTCCTAAAAACAATAATTTTTATATTTCTGAGTAGAAAAACACAGAACACTTAAGCAGAACTAACAGATATATTATTTGTTATTACAGTATATTGTTAAATGTTATACTATAATATACTACTATAATATACTACTATAATATACTAAGTGAAGAAATCTAGGCTCATAAAGATTAATGCGTGTTCTCAAATATGCTGATCCTAGCTTCAATTTCTTAGAAGTATTTTTTTAATTTAGAGTACCTGTACAGCCTAAGAAGCTAGAAAGGGAATGTTGAGAAAGTACCATAAGGGGAACATAGAAGAACACAGGTGATAGTAAAAGTAAGTTTTATTCACCAGATGTAATTGGCATCTTGAAGTCTTACAGCTGAATATGCTTACCCTTTCTAGTTATTTCTGAACTCTGGATGGATGGTTCAACTCAGTTGTTCTGGCTTAAAACTCCTCTCCAATATAACTAATTCAAATTGGCTTCTCTTGGCTTCTCAGTGAATTGGTCTGCTTGAAAACTTCCTCTGAATTCCATGATCTGAACTGCACTGACTACACAAACTGAATGACTGCATGAACTCAACTGAACTCAACTGCGCTGAACTGATCTGAACTGCACTGCACTGCACTGCACTGCACTGCACTGCACTTCACTGAACTGCACTGAACTGAACTGAACTGAACTGAACTGAACTGAACTAAATAAGTCTACTGCATTGAACTGTCCTCTCGTCCAGACTCCCTCACTCTGCACTTCTGTCACCTCTCTTTCCTGTCTCTTCTCCTGAGAGTTGGGAGTTGGGTGTATCCTATCTCTGACTCATTCTCTCAAATCTTTCTCTGATTCATCACTTGTCTGCCCCTCAATTAGACATCATTTTCAAACATGGCTGCTTTCTTCTACAAATCGACCTTACCTACATTGTTTGAAATTAAAGGTGTGTACTAAGGGTATATTCCAGCCAAAGGGATTAAAGGTGTGTGGTGTGTCTGCAGCAGGATCACATAGATCTAGGTCTTTGGATGTGATCCCTTGCCTGAATAGCCATAATGCTCTAAAATCCCTCTACAGTGATATGAAAGTAGAGATGAGGAATGCTGGGGGAGGAAGGGTTTGTGTAGGCATGAGGATAAGGATACAGGAAAGATAGTGGGCATAGACAAAACAAATATATATATGAAATAGCTATACGAAAACCCACTTTAAGTCAGTTTAAACCTTCCCTATACTCTACTTCCACAGATCAAAACAAACTACAGATCAAAAATATTTAGAAAAAATTACATCTGTACCCAACATATACTTTGTCATTACTTAAGTACACAATGTCAATTGTATAACATTTACATTGTATTCCATTATATAATTTAAAGTATACAGGAAGGTATACATAGATTATATTCAAATATTAGCTTGTTATTGTAGAAATTTCCTAAATGTATTTCTAAGAAAGAAAAAAGATGCCGGGCAGTGGTGGCGCACACCTTTAATCCCAGCACTTGGGAGGCAGAGGCAGGCGGATGAGTTCGAGGCCAGCCTGGTCAATAGAGTGAGTTCCAGGACAGCCAGGGCTACACAGAGAAACCCTGCCTCGAAAAAAAAAAAAAAAAAAGAAAAAAAAAGAAAAAAGATTTTCTTAAAAGAAAGAAAAGAAAGAGAAAGCATATGCAGACTCACTCCCAGGCACTTTGGCTTCTTTCAGCATTTGATTGAATAGATTTAGACACAGAATCTTGACTTCTCGGGCAATAAGAAGCAGAAGCTGGTATTTGCCTTTCAAGGAAAAATTTTGTTAAACACAATTTGCTTTCAAATTGATAAATGTAAAATGTATACATAAAGTAACATCAGTCAGTGACAGACACCCATGTATTGATTCATATGTTTTTCACATACCCTGTATTCACTGTTTTCTTTAAAGGAGCCACCTCTGGATTCACAGCTTCCCATGCCCAATCTCAGAAGTATAAAAACACATAAAAATAAGATTTCATTTTCAAAATAATTCCTTACATTTATTTAATTTGGTAGTTCTAACAAATTGAAGAAATAGACATAGTCTTTGGTAGCACTTGATTTGTCACAGCCTAATTTTACAGATGTCTTTCTTACTTACTGTATTTAAGCAAAGATAGTAGTTTAATCTGTCTTTTCCACAACTGATTCTAATTAATGCCTTATAATTGGCAACATAAATTTAGTTGAATCCAATGTTTCTTAAATTTTATTCCACTCCACATAAAGAAATGCATCACAACTGGTAACAAGATAACTATTTTCGAAACTAACAAAGACACACAGAATCAGAGTAAGATAACAAAATTACTATGTATGGTATACACTTCTATATACATTTACTAATCTGCTCTACTTACTCTCTTATATCCTTAATTTCTATTTTTATGTTTTAACTATTTACACGTGGGGGGCACGCAGTGTACATGAGTGTAGATGCTCGTGGAGGCCAAATGATCCCCTGGAGTTGGAAGTATAAAGTAGTTGTAAGATACCTGACAAGAGTGTTGGGAACCAAACTCAGGTCCTCTGAAAGACTAGTAATCCCTCTTAACCACTAAGCCAGCTCTCTTTTCCCATATTCTCTTCTTATAAATGTTGACTGTATTCTAGACTAATAGGTCAAGATAAAAATTCATATTTCCTCATGAGATAGCTCACACTTGTAATTTCTCAAGATCAGTATTCATGCTATGTATAAAACACTGTAAATGATGAGAAAGATTTTAAGTGATGGTGAATGCTGACTTGTACATGTCCATGTGAATTTCTACTTTTTATATATAAAATGAGAATGAGGGCCACAGATGACTCTGTGGGCAAGGGAACTTGCCATGCAAGCTTCATATGCTAAGTCTGATACCAAAATCCACAGTGGAAGGAGAGAACTGACTCCCAAAATTTGTCCACACATACACATACACACACACACACACACTAATAATAAAATTCAAATTTTAAAAATTAAGATATTATATGTTAACTTTATACTTTAAATTCCTAGTGTGGGAAAACAATGACTATATCAAAGTCTATGAAAGCACACTGAAAAAATTAAAATATGAGTATTGCTATATATAAACTTATTTTAATATTTTATTCATATATTCCATTAATAATTTTAAAGTTTGTTTCCAAAATTTAAATATACATAACCAGAATGTGCCAAGTAGATTTCAGAATATCTGCCTATCAGTGCTCTCTTCCAGAGGGAAGTAAAAAAGAGAGTGAACACTGAGACAGTGAGCAAGATGGCCTAGCAGGAAGCCTTGCCACCAAGCTTAATGACTTGATTCTCATCTCTAGAACATACATGCACACACAAATAAATAAATAAATGAGAAAAGTAAAGTCTCTCAACACTCACCACTATGGCTAACTGGTTCACAGATGATAAGAGTTTAGTGCTCTTACTTAAAATGTAACACATATTAGAAGCTTCCTGACTCGAAAACTAAATAAAGAGTTACAAAAGACAGCCAGTATCTGAGAAGTCAAGTATGTAAACTCCCAGCAATGTCAGCTATCATAATGTGCTGGTTTGAGCTATAAGGAAGCATACTAAATGAGAGCATCTTAGACCATTTGGGCTATCACAAAATATCTTAAATTGAGTAATTTACAAATACAAGTTTTTGACAGTGCTGGAGACTAAAACATCTTAGATTGAGGTAACAACAAACTAGATGTTTAACAAACTAAGTGTTTGGTGAAAGCTTGTTCTCACTTCAGAAAGAGCCCCTCTTAGAGTATTCACATGACAGAAGAAGCAAACATCCTTCTCCTTCATCTTTCCTTTACAAGGCCACTAGTCCTTTCGTAGGGGTAGACTCCTCACAACTCTAAGTACTTCCTAAAGGTCCATCTCCTATTCAACAGTTAAGTTTCAACTTAAGAATTTTCAGAGCCCAGAAAATACTGAGGGAGACAACAGAGAAAGACAGGCAAAATTGTTCTGAGAAAGCAATAACTAAGCACTAATGACCAAGCACCAGAAACTCCTGGGCTTATTCCTTTTTAAAACTCTATATACACTTTTCCCTGTTTCTGAGGTAACTCAAACCCTTCCATCCTCTCCTAAAAAAATATATGTCACAGTATTCTATGTTCTGAGAAAGAAAAATAGTCTTTGCAATGTAGGTTCCTACTTTATTAGAACAAAGGCTCCAGACACAAAGATAGACTCCATTTAAATGCTAAGCCATCCTCGTGTACTAGGCAACTCCAAACTCCTGTGCAGGAATGCTCAGAAGGAGCCAAATCATCTCTGTATCTGGGCAGTGAAAAGCAGCAGGGACTTTCTGCAACAAGAGACCTACTAATTTTCTACTTTCTAGTTCTTGTCTCTTGAGATTTTTCCCTACTAATTTTCTTACCTGTTGGTAAAGAAGGGAAACCATAACTGTCAGAAACAGTACCAATACCTGGATCATTCTGAAGTGGATTAGAAGTTAATGGTTGTCTGTTCCTCTTTTTCTGATTGAACAATGGCACAGGCAAACAGCCTACACAGAATGTACAAATAAATCACTATGAAATAAGTAAATACGATGTCTATGTCTATAAAAATGTCCATTAATAATATGTAATGATACATGGTTTAGAGTCTACTTCTATATGATAACACACTATAGATATATTTCTATGCCCTTGAAATGATTTTTACAATCTTTTAGAAGTTCACATAGCTTACCAGTGTCTACAGTCCATTATTCTTCTCTGTTTTTATCCCCAAACCTTTCCCAAATCTATCTTTTCTTTCCTGCATTTCCCTCTTCTGTTTGTCTATTCCCTTAGCTGCAGAGTGCCTATAAAATATATCAAAGCTAAGAAAGAAAAAACTTTGAACCATGCTTTCCAAAAATCTAACCATACTTTAGTGTGACCACCAGCCTCTCAAACTTTGGTTTGACTAAGATTTATACTGAAATTCTGATTAACATGTAGGCTCCAGGTCACAATCTCCAATGTTGAAATTTGTATTTCAATTATTTACTCTGGAAATTATACTCCCCAAATTATACTTTTAATAAGAACCCCAGGTATCTATAATATTTCTCTATAAATTATTTTTTAAATGTCTTAAGGTGTTAATTCTCCAGCCTTCTAATGTTGTGAGCCTTTAATACAGTTCCTAGACTGTGGTGACCTCCAACTATAAAATTATTTCATTGCTACTTCATAACAGTAATTTTGCTACTGTTATGAATTGTAATATAAATACCTGACTTGTAATATAAATACCTGACATGCAAGATGTCTAATATGTGACCCCCGCAAGTAGTTTGTATAAGCTAAGCTCAGGAAGTGGCACTATTAGAAGGTGTGGCCCTGTTGGAGTAGGTATGGCCTTGTATGAGTAAGTGTGTCACTGTGGGTGTGGGTTTAAGACCTTATCCTAGCTGCCTGGAAGCCACTACTCTGCTAACAGCCTTCAGATGAAGATGTAGAACTCTCAGCTTCTCCTGCACCATGCCTGCCTAGATGTTGCCATGCTCCTGCCTTGATGATAATGGACTGAACCTCTGAACCTGTAAGCAAGCCAGCCCCAATTAAATGTGTCCTTATAAGAGTTGCCTTGGTCATGGTATCTGATCAAGGCAGTAAAACACTAAGACACCCCCAAAGGGTCTTGACCCACAGGTTGAAAACTACTTTAATAGAATGAAAAACCCAACCCAAGTAAAATACCATCACCATTTCCTCCACATGACAAGAGCAGGTTCTTCAGTCAAAACAATAAATAAACTTTTAAAGCTATAAGAGAATTCAGGATCAGAAGAGGTCTTCAAAGCAATAACTAGAAAATCCGAGATAGGACCCAAGTTCCTAAATCTCAGTTTAGAAACCCTTAACAGTACCATTGTCTAGCTGCCTCATTCTCACTGGAGAATACTAACCCAGGAAGATCTCTAATGAAAACCTATTGTCATGTAGGTTCTTGAGTCAGGATGGCTGGGTTTTAACTGTGCCTTCAATGAGGATTTGAAATTAAACTTCAAAGTTAAATATGAACAGTTTCCTTAAATTCTTTGTACCAAAAATATATACAAAGAAGCATAACATAATGATTAAGAATGTAGACTCTAAAATCAGATTTCTAGGTTCAAGTACTATTTCTAAAACTCAATAGATTACTTATCTATGGTCTTTGTGTCTTGGTGTCTTATCTAGAAAACAGAGGTGATGACAAAGATTAAATAATACCTGTGACTAAATGTCTAGAATATGGTGTCCCATCATGAATTATCATACAGTCTTCGTTGTACATCATAATCATTTCCCTGACTCTTGTCATTCTTGACTTCTATCCTTACCTTACTTCATAATTGAGAAAACAAAAACAATACAAAATATTAGAGAACAGCTTAGTTGTTGGTGGCTCAGACCTTTGATCCCAGCACTCAGGAGGCAGAGATAGGTGGATCTGTGTGTTCAAAGCCAGCCTGGTTTCTATGAGGAGTTCCAGGACAGCCAAGGCTACACAGAGAAAAAACACTTGAAAAGTAAAAACACTGCTAGAGGGCTGAGGCAGAAGTGGTATGTGAGTGGGGGAGCACCCTCTTAGAGGCAAAGGGGAGGGAGGATGATGGGATGGGGGATTTGTGGAGAGGAGATCAGGAAGGGGAACAACATTTGAAATGTAAATAAATAAAATGACCATTTTTTTAAAAAAAAAAGACATACTTTAAAAAAAGAAAACATTTTAACAAGTCAATCAAAAAACCACAAATGTATTTCTTTGTTTCCTGCTCAAAACCATAAATAAATCAATCCCTTAAGTTTTGTAGAAAACGCATCAGAGTAAATCTCAGTATATTTAATTTTACTCTCATCTCTACTGCTAAATACTTTGCCTTGACAAGCTTACTTTACCTCTTTTGACTATAAAAAGAGGCTAAACTAAATGTCTAATCTCTTTAAACATTCTTTCCCAGATGTTCCTATAAACTATACATGCTTTGTGTACTATGTGAAAAATACCAAAAACAAATGCTGTTCAATACCTGCTGTACTTCGAGATGAACTTTCATTCAGGTTTCTCTTCATTTTCTTCAATGTCAAAGCTTTTTTTATTTAGCATTTGACATTTACAAAACGAAGTTAACTAAACCACAGAAGGAAGAAACATGTAACTCATATTCATCAGCAAGATCAACTTTTCAGTCAATTAATTATGGACACTATGGTTTAAAACTATCAAATGCAATCACCTCAGGAATTGCTTTATAAATAAGAATTTAAAACATACCCAATTTTCCCAGCTATGTTCAAATAAGTTATGACAGGGATAGATATAATCTTGTTTTCTAAATATATACAGAGTTTCCACACAGTCTAAGCAATATATCAATCAGAATTCAAGACCTATAATAGGAATTTTGAACCAAAGCTATAAGGGAAAAAAAATACAGCATGTGCAAACTTACAGAAACAAATAAAACGTTTTCCCATTGTATTTTTACTGATTTTAGCCTCCTAATATATCTATATCTTAATATAATTTATTTAATTCAACAAATGTTTGCCCATGAAAAGGCCAGACACAAACCCAAATAATTTCTACTGCAAATCCACATCCCAGTGAGACAAACTGATGTGAATACCAGTAACAGTGCAATCAAACAGGTACACATTAGTGTCCAAATATCATTTGCAAAAGTAAAACTCAAAAACAAGAGACTGAGGACTGCCTCTTTGTGTGTCTTGAACTTGAAAGCAGAATATAGGAAACTCTTAAATATTTTTTTACCACTCTAGGAATCAGAACAGAGATGGACCCATTTTTTTTTTCAACACAGAAACACCAGCTCATCCTAAGCCTAAGAGAACTTACAGGGGTGGAATACCTTAAATATCCTAAACCTATGGCATGTGAGACAGAGTCTCATACAACCCAGACTTGCCTCAAACTTCTAATCTTCCCATCTCTACCACCCAAGTGTTGGGACTGCAGGAATAGGCCATTATGCTTGATTCACAAATACATGGAAGTACATCATCTTCCTGAACCACTAAACACTGTTGTCCTGAACCCAGCGTCCAAGAGAACCGGCTTCAGCTCGAGCAGGGTGATGGGAATGGGGTGACTGGGGTGACAGGACCAGGATGACTGGGGCGACAGGAGTGGTGGAAGCAAGGGTAGCAGAGGCAGAGTGGCAGGGGGCCGGAGGTGGGAGTGCGGTGACTGGGGTGGTTGGGGCTATGGGAGCAGGGATGATGGAGGTGGGGTGGCGGGGCAGGTATTGGGGTTCTGGAGGTACTACCCGACTCACTGACAAACCTGCTCTAAGACCATGGCCTCAAGCAGAGGCCGGCAGGGCCTGTTTGAGGCCTCCTTAAAGGAAGGGAGAGATTTCCAGTCAGAATTCATCTTCCCTTCCAACAGGCCCCTCCCGCCTGACACACCCACTCATGGGGCCCGTTTTAGGTCAACGAACGGTATTTCCCTCCAAGAATCCCCTGCCAACACCAAGTACAAAGAGAGCCTTCAAGTTAACCTCGCCTCCGTCAGCAGGCAGCCACACGGACCTTCCCGCCTCCGCAAACCCGCGGGAAACTTTGCGCAGGCGCAGCAATCCGAAGCACAGCACGCAGGCGCTCTGAAGCCCCTGCACTACTAACTGCGCAAGCGCAGGGGTCAAGGCCTCGCGAGAGTTAAAGGAGCAAGAACAACTGAGTTTCTCTGCTCCTAAAGGCAAAAGCGATGCCCTTTGCTTTGTTGCTTGTGAGGTACGGCTCTACCTCTTTAGCTATTTTGTCCACAGACAGAAACTTGTTCTGGTTATGGATTAGGCGGGAGGAAATCCCCAGCCCAGCCTTGCTCCAGCCCAGTGACATCAGAAAATCATGGCCTCTCTTTCCCTTCCGCCTTGCCCATTTCCTAGACACTAGAAGTTTTCTAAGATGCTGCTGACATCAAAGATTGTGTCTAAAGAGAATAATTCCCAAAGCAGCAAAACAAGGCCCAATATGACCACATGTCTGTCATGGGTCAGGCAGGAAATTTTTGTCTCCAGGAGACCTGTGGGGGAGCTGAGTCCCGTTTTGAAATGCAGAGAGCAGGCAGGCAGGAAGGACCAGCGCTACCATTGTTAAGGAGAGCAAAGGAGCACATGGGCCTCAGAGGTCTACGAAGGAAGCAGGGTGGTATGAGAACCTGAGCTCCTTCCTATATAAGGAGCAATTGGAGATGTGGACAAACTCATTAAGTTGGTAGCTTTTCTTGATTTTTCTCCAGCTTTTCACATACGGGTAGAAACCACTTTTTGGAATAATTTCCAAAAATCTCATTTGTAATTCCCACTTGCAGAATACTTACCAAGCATGCATTTGAACACTACTGTTAGATTCACAGAGACAGCCTCATGTCAGGAGAAGCTTCTGTCACAGAAGCCTGTCTGGAAAAAATGGGGAGTTCTTGCCTCTGTGACTTTGGGCATGTGATGTCTACATTTCCTTCTTTGAGAAGATAGCAATAACAGTATTTACTTAATTGCCTTAAAATATTAAAAGAGATATTAAATGATTCCAGCACATAATATGTGCTCAATAAAGGTTAATTCCTGTTTCCAATAGTTGCTGCCATTTTGCTGGTATAGACTAGCTACTTAGAATAGCTATCTTTGCTCAAAGACTAGGTCCTCTTATTTCCCTGTCTTCTGGCTATCCAACATAGCTGAAGAGAAGTGGAAAGGGCTGCTGTGGAGAGATGGTTATTAGTAAATGCCTAGAAGAAAATTAAAACTAGAAGAAAATAAAAACATGTTAGTTTCTTTGTCGGTAAGTAAGAGTGGTAGTGGCCTGGATAATGAGATAAGGAGTAAACTTTGAATAGGATCATTTTCAATTTGGAAAAAGCCTTCAAAAAAATATCTGGAAAAAACCTATTCATCATTATTCCAGATAGAATACTTACCTAAAATGTGAGTATAATAATTTTCAAGGAAGTGGAGTTTGCCTTGATATATGCATACATAAACATGTGTACAATACATAATGCCTCCCCCAAAAAATAATAATTTATCATTCTTAAAGAGGCAAGGGAGGGGGTATGGCTCAGTGGTAGAGTGAGTGCCTAGACTATGAAAAAAGAAAAGAAAAGAAAAGAATCACAACTCTAGTGAAAGAGATAACATGTACTACATCTGTAAAGCATGGACATGAGCAGTATGGACTCTTTGCTAGAAGTCCATGGACTCATATACGCTACCCCAGCTCTGTTCTGGTTATCATTCATCTCCACCTAGAATGTTGATCAGGATGGATGACAACAAGACAGCCACAGAGAAAGGATAGAATTAGAACTATAATAGTGTGATTGCCTGACTCCTGAACAGCCACATTATCTATAAGACACTTTCTTTAAAATATGGAACAGGGAATCCTTTTGATCGTCTGTCCTAGCTAGTTTTAGCTGTCAACCTGACATGGCTGAGAATCATCTGCCGAGATCCGATTGGCCTGTGGCCATATCTGAGAAAGATTATATTAATTGACAATTGATCTGGGAGGTCCCAGCCCACTATGAGTGGTACCAACCCTCCCTAGGTAGGTGGATTTAGGCTACATAAGAACACTAGCTGAGTAGAGGCAGAAAGTGAATTAGTAGATCTTCCTTCATGGGCTGTGCATATGTCTGCATAAATTCCTGTCCTGACTTCCCACAAGGATTAATTAAGTTGCTTTTGGCCAGAGTTCTGCTCTATCACAGCAACAGAAAGCAAACTAGACTATCTTCTGACATTCTGTTTCAGAAACAGCCTCAGCTTAATACCCACAACAAAATTCCTGGCATTGATCCATTGGCTAGCCATACTGTGAGTCATACTTTATTGTCCCCTTGTTTTAAACTACATAATCTTATACTTAAAAGAAATTAGTAATCTCAGAACTCAGGAGGCTGACAGGAGGTTCACAAGTTCAAGGCCAGTCTGAGCTACATAACCAGTTTGAAGCCAGCCTAAGCTATGTGGCAAGACCCTGGCAAAACAACAGCAACAACAAAAACCACAAATCTGTAGTTCTGGAAGTAACACTTTTGAAAGTATTTCAATCAAGATATGATAACTAGAAATGATTTTATTCAGTATGCTATCAATTCTCTGAACTCTCAAAAACAATAACTAATAGAAGTGGATAGATTTTGCCACATGCTTTGGGAAAGAGAGTTAAAAGGTGATTTGGGAAACCAGGAGTTAAAACTCTTGGAAGTTAACTTGGTATAAGAGAGCGAAAGCCTCTGCTGCCCCAGTTGTAAGCAAAAGCTTTCGTTTTCTAGTAAAGCTTCCGGCAGGAGACAAACCGTACACAGTAACAAGGTAAGTATTCGAGCTGCTGCCGGCCATTAACTGCCCAGGGAGTTACTCACTTGGACACACCACAGAAACTTTAGAAATGTGAAAGTATACTTCAAAATGCTGACCTGTTAAAATTCCATAAAACAAGCCTCAAAGTTCGAGTCACTGGTGCCTGCCATGAATAAGTTACTGAAACAGCGTTTCCAGAGAGACTAGGGCAAAGGACAGAACAAACCACAGGTCAGCAGGAAAGGAACAAAATACTTACAGCAGGGTGCTAATAATTCACCACAGTTCAGTAAAACCACCACGGGAGCAGAACTGTCCTCTCTCTACATGTGCCTGTTTTCATCATTGCAAAGTGTTCAGCGTATGCTGAGGCAGAAAGAAAATCAAAGACTACAGGGACTTTGTCTTAGATTACAGCAGTAATTTCAATGTATAAGTAGTCTTGACTTTGTTTTATCTCTGCATTATAATCTCTTTAAAAACAAAAAAGTATTGAGGATTTGCTTACTAAATACTATGAAACATTTTGTATTTCCACCATGCATTTGGCTTATGTGTCTTGTGATTCTACATTGTGCTGGCTGTTTATGTGAACTCTGGAAGAGCAAAATTAGAAGTTCAGAGGAATCCAAAAATAACAGAGTCACCCTGTTGTCCTGTGGCAAACGCTGGCCTTAATGAGGAACATGGCTCCTGGGCCTAGCTTTCTTTTATGTAACTGTGGAAACATAATCGGGCTAAGTGCTTCTTTCCTTTATCCTTGCAATGAGGATGTCTGCCCATTATAACTCATAAAGTGAATTTATGAATAAAGCAAGCAGACGTCTGTGGGGAAAAATTATAGATTAACCTACCCTGTATGGTAAATGATTGCTTTATTGTGTCCTTATGAAACTATGAAACAACTTAGTGTTGTTTCATATATATATATATATATATATATATATATATATATATATATATATATGAAAATATATAATATTTCCGGTACTTCAACATTCTTGGCTTTCTGGGTGATTGAGTATGAAATCAAGTAAGATTGGCTCAGAGTTAATTTTCCAAAGCTATGTAATCAATCATCTTATCCTGGATTAGTTCCCCTAGTAAGACTCCATTTAGAACAACACATTCCAGAAGAAAGTCTTTGATATCAGTAAATGAGATCATGTCTGTATAACTCATATGATGTAGTTAAAATATATGTAATATATGTGTAATACATGCTTATATGTTATTTTGTATATATTATGTTGCAAAAATATTTTCAGGCATTTAAGAGACTTGAATATTACTGACAGCTGCTTTTCATTTGGTATTTAGACAAATTAAAAAAAAAAAGACATCATAGAACTACCAAAACCTTCATGAGACAGAAGTTAAAAATGTTTCAAAGTCACTTTTGAAAAATAATTTTTATTTGTTCATTATTTGCATGTAAGAGACAGAGAGGATAAAGAGAGAGAACAGACACATATGTGGTGGTCAGAGGACAACTTTGAGAAGTTGGTTCTCTCCTCAGGATTGAACACAGCAGTATTATTGCCTGCTGCGTTTCTGCCATGCTCTGTGTCAGTGACCCTATCGTGACTGGGTTCTTGTGCCTCTGACTGTGGACAGCTATGCTGAAAGAAAGGATGCTGCTCAAGAGGAGGTCAGAGACAACAAGGCCTTCAGATCAGGAAAAGTGCCTTGCTTACTTTGGAAATGTTTTTAAATGTCAGTGGAAACAAAAACACTGAATAAACCACACTGTTATATTTAGGAGGATTGGGCTTAATGTGGTATTATTTTATAAATAATAATTCTGAACAGAAAGGAGAATTTTTATACCAGGGCATGCTAACTAACACAGTTGTGCTTCGATCTGCTGACCATCTGGGGGAGATAGAAGTTAACAGCTGCATCTTGATCCTTGATCTTTGTATATTGTAATCCAAATATGGTCAAGGGCGGGGAAACAGAAGGGCGTGTACATAGAATAAACAGGCTCAGAAGTTGTGGCAGAAACAGTTGTGAAGTCAGTTCTCGAGAGGATTCTGTATTTTGCACTTCTCATTTAGTTCTAAACTTGGCAACTTTTCTCAGAAGTTAAGTGTCCTTTGACCTCATCTCTTCTGAATTGCAGAAATCAGATCAGATTTTGGTATTTAGTAAAATGACTTCTTGTGTTGCTGAAGAACCTATTAAGAAGATTGCCATCTTTGGGGGGACTCATGGAAATGAACTGACAGGAGTGTTTCTAGTTACTCACTGGCTAAAGAATGGCACTGAAGTTCACAGAGCAGGGCTGGACGTGAAGCCATTCATTACCAACCCAAGAGCTGTGGAAAAGTGCACCAGATACATTGACTGTGATCTGAATCGTGCTTTTGACCTTGAAAATCTTAGGTAAGAGTGGTCTCTATTCTCTGAGGGTATATATGGGTGAAAAGCGTTAGTCACTGGAAAGGACGTGTGAATGCTCCTAGTAAGTCATCAGATCCATACGTAGAGCGTCCATGGTGAATAAGATCACTTTCACTTTTAATCATGCTGCTTTACGAGAATTTTGCAACTACACAAACAGGGCATTCACGTGCTCTAATCTTCTTTTTGCTGTATGCCATCCAGTACACAGCAACAAATAAGAAATATCTATATTTTTGACTCATGTGAATTGAAAGTAATCCTCTGCATAAGTTTGTGTTGTGCAACATGTAAAAATAAAGATCTAAATTATTCTAAAAAAAAATAAAATAAATAAATGACTGTTTGGTCATTATACTGGTAAACATACTGTTCTGTGGGAAAGTCACCTCTGTGCTTTCTTGCAGGTATGTCTTCCTCACTATGTCCAGTGAGGAAATTATGACATTTTGATTAGTATTTTTTGAATGAGAGTGAGTAAGGACCAGAGAATAACAGGCTGCTCTGTGACCTGGGGGATAGACAAGCTTATCTCTAGTGGTGGCTTATCATCATTGAGGAAAATGAGGGCTGAAGGTGCTTCCTTAGACCTTTCCAAATTTGGGTTGGGATTATAGGCCTGCCCCAGCAGGATTGGCCTTGAATTTATTTGCTGGTAAATACTTGGCTGAGCTAGGGAATTCCTGAGTCCAGATCTACCACAGAACAAAAGAAATGTAAATAAAACAAAATTTGCCTTTATAAAGTATTTGTTTTCCAAAGAAGTTACACAACAGAGACACTTTGGGGCCCAAGCAACTTTATTAGCATAATTTAAATTCCAGAAATACTTTTATCTTTATGATTGAGGTTATTTCAGGACAGTTAATGTTTGTTTACCTAAATAGTTATTATCTACCTTATATATTACAAGTAAGATTTGTTGAAGAATGAATCTTTGAACCTGCATATTAACTTCCCAAAAAACTCTGAAGTGGGCTGGGGTGAGTTTTCTTACAAGAATAGCCAATAGCAACTTCTCAGTGACTGTGGCACTTTAAGTTGGGTTCACATTCTGTTTCTTAGCCTTAATACTTCAGAGACTAGACAGCCCTGTCTCATGGTGGTTATAAACATCATGAGATAAATAAACCAGTGAGCCTGTCCCATGTGGCCTCTGCTAAGTCGCTGCCTTTTCCTGCATTCCTCATTACAGCGGTGACACTATTACCCACAAGTTCCTTACAGAAGCAACCTTAGAGCCTTCTTGTGTGGGAGGGAAAGTCCTTCCACATACTCTTTACAAGAACTCCACAGAGCAGCCAGGCTTTGAAGCACAGGTCTATAATCTCAGCTATCCAGGAAGCCAAGGCAGGACAAGGCCAGCCTGGGCAACATATCAAGATCCTGCCTTAAAACAAATCATTTTAAAAGTGGGCTAAGGATGTGTCTCAGATGGGAAAATACTTGCCTAACATGAGTAAGGCCCTGGATTCTTTCTAGTACTATAAAAACATAAAGGAACTTTGCAAAGCCAGTCTTCCTCTGTGAACAGATAACAAGCCTCTTACAGAATATATATGCATCCAGTTTGACTCAGGCTTGCTCCTATGTGTTCTTCATGTGGTGACCACAAGAGTGACCCTTGCATAGAAACTTTCTGCCATTCCCCTATTGAAAGTTCTCTTTGACTCTTCTGTCCAGAGTAGATCTCAGCAAGCTACTGCGATAGTACAGCTACTGTAGCACTGTGGCTGCTAGTGCCTTACAAGGTCTGCCCCTGTCTCTTCCTGCAGTCTGCTCCTGTGGGACTCTTCCATGGTAACTGGACCCCAGGCTTGAGAATTCAGAGTGCCCACTGTCTTCCAAGACTTAAAACATTAACTCTGAGCATCTGAGTGGGTAATGATACCATTTACCCAAATGGAAATAAGTAGGTTCTGGAGTGATGTCATGAACTAAAATGAACTAATCAGGAGTTAACTTTGTAAATGCCTGTGTGTGTGTGTGTGTGTGTGTGTGTGTGTGTGTGTGTGTGTGTGTTGTATATCACATTAAGAACTGTATTTGATTGCAAAAAGAAACTCAAGAATGCCAATCTAAACCAATAAGGGTCTCTTGTTCATATGCAGTATGTCCAAATGTAGGTGGCCCAAGGCCAGTGCAGTAGCTCTCTGATGCCATCAATGCCTTGGGCTCTCTCCCCCTACTGTACTTCACCTCACATGGACGTTTTTTCTTCTTATGTTTTTTTTTCTTTTTTTTTTTTTTTTTTTTTTTGCTTCATAGTTACAAAATGACTGCTATGCCTTCTTGATTGCAGATATGATTTCCAGGCAGTAAAGAGTCTGGTACAAACTATTAAAAAATAGCTAGGTAATAGAAATATATGGACTTAGGTTTTAAAAATATGGTTGAGAGACTCAGTAGAGAAGTATAAATTTAAACCATTATCATGTATAGAAAAAACTCAGGGTTCTATTCTCTGGCCACACTGAGAGGCTGGGTAAGGTACTGTACACGGATACATGCAGCAGGGACAGTCAGTACTGTACACACAGATGCAGCAGGGACAGGCAGTACTGTACACACAGATGCAGCAGGGACAGGCAGTACTGTACACACACACATGTAGCAGGGATAGGCAGTACTGTACATGCACACATGCAGCAGGGAGAGGCAGTGCTATACACACACACATGCAGCAGGGACAGGCAGTGCTGTACACACACACA